AGAAATTAATTGGCCAACTAATATATATAGAGAGAGAAAAAATTAGCCGGGCATGGTGGCGCATGCCTGTAGTCCCAGCTACTCGGGCGGCTTAGGCAGCAGGATTGCTTGAGCCCAGGAGATTGAGGTTGCTGTGAGCTAGGCTGACACCATGGCCCTCACTTTGGCCTGGGCAACAAAGCGAGACTGTCTCCACAACAACAAAAAGGATTGGTAACCTCTTTAGTCAACATAGCTGAGGTTCCAGATGAGCTCTTTCTAATAGGAATTTTGAAAAATTTGTGGGCAATAAAGGACGGCTGGCTGCCTTATTCACCATAGCCCAGCTGGTTTTGTATTTAAAGCTCTTAATTCAAAAAGCAATGTTGAGGTATTTAGATAATTTTTATAGGGCTAAGTACCAAGTTAAAGTGACATTAAACCCCGTGTCCAGGAACACAGAGACAAAGAATTTGCAATGCAGATATAAATTTAATCAGTGCTTGGAAGATGAAGGGTTTGCCCGTGACATGTGGAATGAATTCCTATGAGATGGCAGGTGGTAAGAAAAAGTGCAAACTCCAGGGTTTATTGTCCCCTCAACTGTGAGAGTATTGGACTGTTGGGCGATGCTGAAATCAGCGGCCAGGAGGAAGGGCATTGCTTTTGAAGCAGTAGGAAATGCTGTCTGGGTTTAATGTAAATATAATTGTTCGTGAAAGGAGAGCATGAGCACACCCACGTTGCAGTCATCAGTATGAACTGGTCAACTGTGCGAAGAGCTTTGTGGGCCCAACTTTGAGAACCGCTGATTTGTGGAAAGCCTGGCACGACCAGATGATCGCCCCACTTTAAAGAAGGCAATAAAGAGTTGGCAGCAAGGATATGTAATTTAGACACGCACAAGATTTATGCGTTAGGTGGCAGATTAAATATGTTTAGGATGGGCTACCTGCTTTGTGGGGTGAGAGCAAATGAAAACGTAGAGTCCTCATGCAAAAATCACGAAGAATTTCAAGATGGCAATGGCAGAGCATTACACCAAGCACAGGGCCCTCAAAGCATGCAGCCCCGTGTAGTTATGTAGAGCACGTGCCCGTGAGCCCTGCAATCCTTCTGCCTCAGCCTCTGGAGTAGCTGGGACTATAGGCATGCGCCACCATACCCGGCTAATTTTTTCTATTTTTTAGTAGAGACAGGGTCTCACTCTTGCTCAGGCTGGTCTCAAACTCCTGAGCTCAAGTGATCGGCCCACCTTAGCCTCCCAGAGTGCTAGGATTATAGGCGTGAGCCTATTATTCCCGGCTGTTACCTTGCTTTTAAAATTGAGATACTTTATGATGCAAATGCATACTTTACAGTTACAATTTTTGGTTTTGCTACTTTTATAAATTTAATTGTCATTCTTCCTGTCGCTAGCCACTGTGACCTGGAAGAGAAACACCTATAATATTAAACCTTGATGTAACCTGGTATGATGGAGGGTGGGAGGGACGTCTCACCAGGGAGATGCTTTAGACTGAAGGAGGTGAAGGAGGCCCGATGGCACCTGCCATTCATGCGTGGCCCAACACACGTATCGGTACTTGACCGAGCTGTTCCTGGAAACAGAACACAGCAGGCTCCTGTGAGCTGGTGCATGTTTATCTTAATTACAGAACTGGTGGCATTTGTCCCCACTCAGCTCTGTTTTCTGTAGGACTATCAAATTTTGTTTACCAACAGAGCCGCAGTTAGCCCATACCTTTGTGGGAATCAGAGCAAATCCCCTGGGCTGGTTCAGCCCTCACTTACCACCCATTGTGTGGAGTGTGAGTGGCCACAGTCCCTTAGAGCATGCTCAGTGTCCCATAGAGGGGCCTCACCTTTCTCCTTCCCCCTTTTCAAAACTTCTTTTTTCTGTGGTCTTTTATTTCCAGGGCCTTCATTTTATGGAATGACCTAATATTATAACTTGACAAATAAATTCAAACCAAGATGTTAATAGCAGTAGTTGTTCCAGGCATGCTATTATATTGCCAGTGTTGTTTTCACTGTCCAGAATACTGTTTCCTTACTTTGCATATGGTAAAATTCCCTTTTCATTTTGCAAAGGTGAACTCTAATATCAGTTACTCTCTGAAAAATTTCCTGACTCTCTCAACGGAGTTAGTTCTTTCTTTCTTGGAATGCTTATAGTACTTGGTGTATTCACCTATTTTTATATTTCTTACATTGCTTAATAAATATTTACATGTCACTATCCCCGGGGCAGTGTTACTCTTGTTGCATACCCATCTTGTGGGTCATTTTTTAGACATGAACAGGTGCTCAACAAATAAATAATTCATGAGTCGTGGTATGGAATGAACTGATCAGTCAGACTTAGCACCTACCCTGGTGCATTTCACCTAAACAGGGGGTCCCAAAGACCCCTTGCTAAAGCAGCTGATCAGAGTGTGGACAGCTAGAAGGACTAAGCCCCCGTGGCCCCAGGCCTAGAGCCTACTTGATGCTTTGCCTCCCATTCATGGCTAGATCATGAATTAGAAAGAACTCTACGAAGAGTGATTTGATCCCAGTTCCTGGCTTTTTACTTGAGTTTCAGAAGCAATGGGAAGCTCCAAATAGATGCCAGCAGATCCTTTCGTTCCTGGATTTGAGGGAAATTTGCATTTTATATTTATTCCAATGTGTGACTGAGCAGGAGGTGCCGTCTATGAGGTGACATGCCAGGCGCTGTGAGAGACACAAAGGAGTATCCAAAAGCAGCTCCAAGGAGGTCAGATCTCACCGGAGAGATAACTATGTAACAGGACATACTGCGTGAGAGGTCAGAAATCACCACTGACTTTGGTGACCAGAGCAGTCTTCACACGAGCTGATTTTGAGCTGCATCTGGAATGATGAGTTGGATTTGTTCATCCAATAAACAGATATTGATCTAACATGACCCATTCTTTCTTAGGCATGGGAATATAAAGATTGCTCAGTTGTCAGTATACTTGCATCAATTCCTAACTTTTTAGGTGGTAGAGCCTCTAAAAGTAATAGAGCTCTTTGCCCAACCTCATAATTTGGGTCAAAATCACAAAATGACTAAATGGGCTAAACAATGTATCAGCCAGGTGTCAGTATAGACAAAAGGAAACAGGTTCCATATGTTGAAAAAAGGTGTTTTAATAGAAACGTTTATCGGGGAAAGTTTAAAGGAAGAATTTTATCAAATATCTTGTTTTTCTGTCTTTTTGGAAAAAAATCTATCAAGAAGAGCACTGAGGGTGAAACCCCAGGCAAGACCAACATTAAAAACACTTACTGGAGGAGATGGGTCAGAAAAAGCATTTTTGACTTGAAGCAGAAGCCATTTATCAAGTTTCTCAAACATGATTGAGCAGGTTGTTGTTGCTTTTGTTTTCAAAACTGGTTTACTTTTAAAGTTATATTGTGTCCATTCAAGGCCACTTACTTACAGCCATTTCTGCTACATTTGTTCAGCAGTTCTCCAGAGAAGTTCAGGCTGTGAGGCCGAAAGGTTTTACGTGGTATAAATGTAGCACCTTTAGAAGAAGCTGAAATGTGGGCAAGATGCTTGGTTTGTCAGAGCAGGTCTAACGGGTCAGACTGGGTCCTGAGGAATGGTGTGTGGGGGATGTCTGTTGCGGGAACATGTACAGCTAGTGTTACAGCTCTTGACCAGGGAAAGACCAAGCGGCACACTAAGAGTCGGAGAACAGCCTATTCCTCCCAAGCAGGCTCAGCAGAGCTAGTGTTACAGCTCTCTTCCCGTCTTCTGATCTTCTTCCCCCTTCCTTGGTCTCCTCCTGCTTTTATACCCTTGGTAGGACTCCAAAAGCGTCCAATCAACTACAAGCTTTAACATCCAATCAGCATCAAACTTTAACATCCAATCAGCAATAAGCTTTCAAAAATTACCCAATCAGGATCATGCGAGCAGCACAGCTGAATGACAGGAGGCAGCCAACAGGGCGAGGACAGCGGATGTCAGCACACAGGCCAGAAGCAGGTGGCAGCACATGGGCCGGGCAGCATTCCAGCAGTGGGCCCTGGGGGTTCTACCGAGGGGCTGGCCCCAGCACCGTGCCCTCCTACCGGCCTCAGGCAGCGCTGTGGAGTGATGGATAGGTGGCAAGTGGGCCACGTCCCTGCACTCAACGTTTTCCACGTCAGTCCATCAACAAACTCCACTGTGCTCGAAATTCAAGACTTTAAATAAGGTAGTAAAATGCCCACGCTTCTTTTTTCTTCCTTTGGGAATATTTGGGATTGTTGTAATCTCTGAATCCTATTCTTCTCCCCTGATGTTCCCACCTGAAGTATACTCCTGACAGACATTGAATCTATGGCCTATCACACCACAGCGTCAGAAGCACTCATTATGGGATGCTAGGGGGTAGAGGCATAGGGACGGCAAGCACCTTTGTTAAAAGGGAGTTTTTATGATTGCTCAGTCAGATCTCTATTTCTAATCCTGGGTAAAAACAGTCAATAAGTATCAATTGCACAATATCATGTTATATGCAACAAGTCTCCAGCTAGAAACAAAGAAATCACTTAAAACACTGTTGTCCTTTGAAGGTTTTTATAATCGGTTTAATGAATGTGGCTTAATTTCAGTCACTCAGAAAATTATATATTTTTATTAATCCCTATATTTATGTTTATGCTTGATGCAGAGAATGACATTTGTTTAGTGACACTGTCTACAGATGATGAGCTTAGGTGTAGCTGGCTTTCAGAGAGAAGCCTGTCATAAGATAGAAGACCATGAAGTGGCTTTGCATTTTTATGTTTGGAAGCACTTGTGATGCTGGACTTGTTTTATGTGCAGTGCACTTAAAAGTGCATTTGTGTTCCTCTGGGCTTGCAGGGGAGATAACAGCTCCTTCCCTGCAAGTCCAAGGGTGCCCCAACGTGCCATTTCCATTTTCCTAGTCCAGGGAGATAAATGTAGCCTGGTGCTTGGGCAGTCTTCCAAAGGACTCATATCTTGTCTTTGCTTACAAAAAAAAAATCAGCCCACTCTATGAAGAGGTGCTTGTCTTTTGAAAACATCCCTAACAGCCCTGAATGCTTTTTTCCTATCTCTCTCCGGTCAAAATGGTTGCAATTTGAATTTTGCCACAGTAAAATTCATTTCCTGACTGTGGTGCTGTCCAGATTGACTTTATCACATTCACAGTCCTGTCAAGTGATAGCATGGGTTGGTTGAGAGCAGCAGGAAGTGAAAAGGAAATGAGAAGTGCAATATTTGATAATCACACAATCAGCATTTTGCTTTAGAAATAACGTTCGGAAGGGAGGAGTATGATGGGCTGGATTAGAGCAGGGGTCTTGAGGCCCAAGCCCACTGCTGCTGCTTCCTAATTGTGCAGCTTCAGGCTCCGAGAAGTTAAGAAGTCACTGGTTTCCTCTTCTGCAGGATGGGCTGTGTGCGCATTGCACTTGCTGAGCACAGCCCTCCGTAAACGGTACTTCTCCCTAATACGCTTAAAGAGGTGTGAAGACATAATGAAGGCATTTGTCACAAAGAATCACCCTCTGTGCTTGTGAAGCTGCACTAGCCTATTTGGTAGGGCCGGCATAGTCCCATCTGTCATTCATTCACGGAGCCTCCCAAATCCTTGATGAGCTAAGCCAGGGGATAAATCCAAACATTAATTTAACAAATATTCATTAAGCATCAGCTGTGTACTGTTGGACCGTGCCAGGGGGCGTGGAGACTGCAAATATGAAAGATGTGGCAACAGTGGCGAACAGCCTAACTTGAGCAGGGAACATGGCAAACAGCTACGCTGTGTGTGCACGAGGAGTGTCAAGGTGGTTTGGAAGTCGTCAGAGATGGCTTCTTGCAAAAGGTGAGATTGGAGCTGGGCATCGAAGAAAGGTGGGAATTCCAGGCAAGGCACTTCAGGCAACATGAAAGGCTTAGTATAATTCCCCACACTTACACACAAAGTGGTGGTTACTTATTTCCTGTTCCCACAGGCCCACCGTGTTCTTATGACACATTAGTATCTCCTTGCTGGAAACAAGAAACAGACTTGGTGCAGGCTGCTCTCCCACACTCATAGGGAGGGCACAGTCATTGACCGTGAACTTGAGCAAACCTAGTGGGGATAAGGCCAAGTCTGATGTCTTCCACGCTAAGAAAGTTGCTGGTTACAAACTCAGTTGGAAGTCAGGAGAGGATTCTCATTACCATTGGTGAGTCCTTTGATTTCTTTCACCTTTTACAGACACCGGCCAACCTGTTAAGTTTTCAGGTTGTATGTGGGACCTATTTCAAAATTGAGAGACACTAGGAAAAAGGACATTTCACCAAGACTGGCTAGCTCTATAGCTTTGGGTGTCACCTCAGCTCAGGTTCTTGAGAGCCCACCGGTCTACACCCCGAGACATTGGGTGTACAACATGATTTGTTTTTAGTTTTTATTCTACGTAGGGCCTGCTGGACACCAGAGCAGTGGGGATGGTCCTTGGAAACTTAACTTTTCCTTCCACACCATGAGCTCGATGCACTTCTGAGAGTCTGCCTCTGCCTTAGAATAGAAACGCTGACTATCTGGAAAACCATGAGCCTACACTCAAGGAATGGGCCTGCCCCAGTTTCTCAACTCCCAGCCCTATACTCAAGACATTTTGAGTCTCTTGCTCTAATATGTTACTGCTGCATTATTTCCTTATACCTGCAACTTTTTTCAGTTTATTTAGTCTGTGTAATGATATACTCTTGCCCTCCCTGGCCAGCCACATCCCCTCCCCTGTGCTACAGAGAATCCAACAAAGGGGGCCTTGCTTGTCAACTGGGCTTTTAGATTCTGATGCATTAGGTAGAAAGGAAGCAGTTCTGCAAGCGACTTTCTACAGGTGAACAGCTGCAGAATAAAAGGAGGCTTCAGCATTATCAGACTTTCTCGTGCTCACCAGGTGGGAAGAGTAACAAAAATACTTCAAAGCATGCTGTTAAAACCGTGTGCCTATTTGACCCGGATTTGTCTTTCTTTCAGCCTTTTCCCGCATTGCCAATGTGTAGTCTGACAGCACGGTTGAGGAGAATTTGTATGCAAGAGGGTGATTGTGATTCTTTGCAGGGTGTGTTGTGACAGTTCCGATCAGAGCGTAGACAGTATAAATTGACACATTGGTGTCCAGCTCAGACATCACAGCAGCCAGTTGCCCTCCCCTGAGGGGGTCTTTGCTCCCCCTCAGCCTTCGAAAGTCAGGAACGTTAAGGAGGGTATTTTGGTCATGCAAAGTGCAGCTTCAGCTTTCACCTCTGTGATTAGAGGTAGTAACATCGCCTTGCTACTTGTGGCTTCTGTGTGATTCTAAGGGAATAATGTCTGTGATAATACACAGAAAAAAATAAAGTACATACACAGAAAAAAATAAAGTATAGCACATCTCTCATTAAAGAGTGTAAGGAATTTCTTGTCCTGCAAATGAATCTAGGACAAATTTGAAATTGAGCATTGGGCTTGTAAGTGCAACTCCCTCTCCCTCTCAAGTGGACCTTCCCCCTCCTAGCCGCCCCCAGCTCCTGTAATGCCTTATTCTAGGAATGATTGATCATTGAAACTTAGCCCACCCCAGGCAAAAAGTCTGCATGCCTTGTGAGCTGCGACTTTGGCATGATGAGATACCTGGTTTTTGCTCAATTAAAAGTGTTAATCAAATGCCCGCTGGTATCTGGTGCTCAGCCAGGCACAGGCCAGTTAGGGGTTCTGTGTCCAGAGGCTTGTCCTTCAGGAAGGGCAATAAAGCAAAGACAAAGTATTATACAACGAGGAGACCGGTGACACATGTAGTAACAAATGCAGCTAAAAAAAAGAAAAGAAGACAAATTATTTGTACTACAGGAGAATCAAGGAAGAATTTATGAAGGGTTGAGGGTGGGTAAGAGTTAGATCAGGGATTACAGACTCAAATGCTCTCAGAGGGCCAGGCAGGTAGCAACCTCATGAGTAAATCAGGCTTCTGTAGTACTAAAGGGAGTGGTGGTGTCTAGGGCAACCTGGAAAGGCAGACCCAGAGTGGGCAGATCTTCTATTTCACGAGAACCTAGAAATCGACTCTTTTCTGTGAAATCTCCCAATTTTTGACAACAAATAAAAGCAAACTAAGATCTCATAATGGTTAACACACACACACATACACATACACACGCGCACACACACACACACGCACACACACACACAATCACACAGTAGTTTACAGCCTCTGCCATGAATGTTGGGGGATGAATCCAAGCACCCCAGGCTTAGAGAGGAAAGTCTTGCACATGGACAAGAAACTCAAGAGGTTCACAGGAAGCTAGACCCTTAAGTGCATGGGGGGCATTGTGGGAAACCTACCTGGAAGGCAAGTCAGGAGACCCTGAGTGCCAGACAGAAAGTTTGAAATTATCCTGTTAGAATGAAGGTTTTTGAGCAAGAGAGTAGGTTTGCCAGATGAAAGAATAATCTGGAGTGCTCTAAGAGATGCAATCGATCAAAGAGAGCCAGACACCGTACCGCCATATTATTAATACACACCACTCACTGTGCTATATGTTTTACATAAGATAACAAACTAAGGTCGAAGTAGGTATTGTTAATTATCTTCACTGAATGCATGAGAAAATGGGGGCTACTGGGAGTCCCCCGAGATCATACAGCTAGGGATAGAGGAGCCAGAACTTGAATTCAGGGACATTTGATGCTAAGGCCTGGATACTTAACCCCTCTGGCATACCCCGATTCGAAAGAAAGAGAGGAAAATGAGAGCGAAATCTATTCTTTCTTTTAATCTAGTCACTTTATCTTTCTGTAATTTCACACCAGATACTAAAAAATCTGAGAGCATGGATAGATAGAGCCTTCAATTCAACCAGACAGGCTTGATGTTAAGAAGGAATCTGATGTTTGAGGTGAAGCGTTCCATCAATACAATTCTCCACGGAAACAGCGGGAGATCGTCCTGAGAATGCAGTGCTGCCGTGCAGTGGCTGCCTTCCCGCAGGGCGAGGCTGATCTCTTAGAGCACGGCGGCGACGTAGTCATTCAGTGTCCATCACCGACTATGAGATGACTTCAAGTTTACTGGTTCTTTCAAGGTTATGACCCACGGTTCTTTATTCTGAGAGAAGACCGTGGGCAAGCTCTTGCCCCAAAGCCAGGCCTGGTACATTGTTATGCTCCTGGCCTGTGGCAATAGGGATGTTAAATGTTTACAAATATGTCTAATGTGTACGACATGTCATTCTTACTTATTTGGATGCTAAGATCTGCCTCAGTTCTAGAATTTCTTAGTTCTCTGAAAATGAGCTGAGGTGGGGGATGTTTTGCATTGATAAGTAATGCTATCTTCCCAATAACTTCATGCATAACCTTATTTTTTTTTCTCAAATGTAGGCGACCTAGGTGTTACCTTTGCTTGTCCATTGGGTGAACGGGTCTTTCAATAGGTTATTTCCTTCGCCTTGTGCTGTGCTGCCTCTACCCCTCATTCTGAAGCAGACGTTGGTTCACATGGCTTGGAGCTGACTTTTGGAGCAGGACAGAATATATAAAATAGGGCTGCCATGGGAGAGGTGGGGCATCTGGCAGTCATGCCATGCTGATTTTCCAGCAGAGAAACAAAGAGGAGGACAGTTCCATGGCATGTACAAAATGTGAAATTGTGCTCACCACGTATGTCTTTACGTGTGTTGTGTTGGTTTTACTGTGAATCTCACCTGCGCTCCCTCAACAATGTGGGCATACTGGTTTCCTTCAGTGCAAAGCCTGAGCCTAGACACTTTATTTGACAGGGAGAGATTGCTCAGGAATTGACGACAAAGGTTGGGAAAATGACGGGGACTTTTACTGAGTTTAAAACAGACTGTATTGGTCTCTTTACCCTTTTGGGAGGGAAAAGGCATTGATTCTACTGTTATTTAATGTTTTCTTGAGTGTAAAAAAATGTAGTTTGGCCGGACGCGGTGGCTCACTCCTATAGTCCTGGCACTCTAGGAGGCCGAGGTGGGAGAATTGCTTGAGTTCAGGAGTTCGAGACCAGCCTGAGTGAGAGCGAGAGTGAGGACTGCCCCTCCCCCATCTCTAAAAAAAAAGATGTAGTTTGTAAGATTTAGGAAGTTAAGTGCTTAGTACTGAAGGCAGTTACTCTGGATGGTGGCCATCCAAACGGGAGTGTGCTGTCGCAGGTAACTCTGGCAGCTAGCATGGCTTTAGGTAACCTACAGTTTACCTGCTGTGTATGGACTAAAGGCCATAACCTGGGGAGAAAGGAAAAAGGCAACATCCAGCTACCCTCGGTGCTTTCTCCACCCTGGATAAACAAACAGCCTCCTCTCCTTTCAACAAACACACCCCCATCAAGCAGGGCTGACTCATGCTTACGGCTTTTGAGCATGAAATATAAGTGATGCCTGAGCTCTAAGATGATACCTTGAACAAAGAAGAGTTCTTTACTCTTCCGGGAACCCTGACTTGCAGTAAAAAAAAAAAACAAAAAAAAAAGCCCACCTACCTCAACTCTGTTTTGCATGAATAAAAAATTTCTATGTCAAAGTCAAATGAATTGGCAATATTAGCAGTTTGTTTAAAGCAGACAGTCAAATAGCCTCACCCTGAAGAGGCTCAGGGAAATGAAGTGGCCTGGCCTCGGGGGTAGTTAGACTGCACCCGCCGGGTATTATTTCATTTGCTTGTTAGCCCTGCGCAGCTTGCAAAAAAACGCACCTGTGAAAACCAACGCCAGGTTTTGGTAAACTGGTCCTAAAAGTTATTGAACTAAATAGATTTCTGGGGCACCAGAAAGTTCCATGATTCCAAGCTTGATTTTTAAGAATATATTAAAGGGTCTATATGAAATAGAATAAAAAATGAAGATGTCTTTGAATTCTAATGTCTAAAACAAAAGAACAATTCTTCCATTTTAGCGTGTTGGCACTTGGCTTTTCTTAATGCAGTGAGCGTGTGAACCCCTAGCAGGCACTTTTAGGCAGTGGAGAAAGCATGTTCCCTCTTCTGAAGAATTTTCTGTGATTGTAATAGTTTGGAGCAATGTATATATTTTTGGAACAGAGAAAGCTGCTAATTCTATCTGGGAACATCAGAAGGACTTCCTGGGGCTGAGGTGACCCATGGCTCAGATCCGTGCTTGACAGTAGGAAGCTGTCACTCGACAAAGAAGGGTGGTTGGCAACTTTTATGCTGTATGTG